CAGAGGCAGAGAGAGAGAGAGAGAGAGAAAGAATCTTCCATCTACTGTTTCACTCCCCAGATGACTGCAACACCAGAGCTGCACTATTCCGAAGCCAGGAGCCAGAAACTTTTGGGTCTCCCATGTGGGTGCAGGGGCCCAAGGACTTGGGCTATCTTCTACTGCTTTCCTGTGCCACAGCAGAGAGCTGGATTGGAAGTAGAGCAGCCGGGAATTGAACCAACGCCCAAATGGGATGCCGGCGCTGAGGGTGGTGGCTCCACCTGCTGCGCCACAGCACCGGCTCTGGTTTGCCTATCCTTGACATTTCATCTAACTGGAATCAAACAGTCTCCTGTGATTGGCTTATTTCATTCAGCATACCTTGTTTTTGTTTTTGTTTTTTAAAGATTTATTTATTTATTTGAAAGTCGGAATTACACAGAGAGAGAGGAGAGGCAGAGAGAGAGAGGTCTTTCATCTGAGGGTTCACCCCCCAGTTGGCTGCAACGGCCGGAGCTGAGCCAATCTGAAGCCAGGAGCCAGGAGCTTCCTCTGGGTCTCCCACGTGGGTGCAGGGGCCCAAGGACTTGGGCCATTTCTACTGCTTTCCCAGGCCATAGCAGAGAGCTGGATCAGAGGAGGAGCAGCTGGGACTAGAACCGGCGCCCATATGGGATGCTGACGCTTCAGGCCACGGCATTAACCCACTGCACCACAGCGCCAGCCCCCTAGCATACCGTTTTCAAGCTTCATCCATGTGGGGGTATATTCAGTTCTTAATTCCTTTTTTTTTTTTTTTTTGACAGGCAGAGTGGGACAGTGAGAGAGAGACAGAGAGAAAGGTCTTCCTTTTGCTGTTGGTTCACCCTCCAATGGCCGCCGCGGCTGGTGCGCATCGCGCTGATCTGAAGCCAGGAGCCAGGTGCAGGGCCCAAGGACTTGGCCCACAGCAGCGGGCTGGCCTGGAAGAGGGGCAACCGGGACAGAATCCGGCGCCCCAACCGGGACTAGAACCCGGTGTGCCCGCGCAGCAAGGCGGAGGATTAGCCTAGTGAGCCACGGTGCTGGCCCTTAATTCCTTTTTTTATGACCACATAATAACCCATCATTCAGCGACACCACACTTTGTTTCTCTCTTCAGCAGCTGAAGGGTGTCTGCACTGTTTCTACCATTGTGAACGGTGCTACTGTGAACAATCAGGCACATTTAAGTTTTTTTGAACACCTGATTTTGAGTATACACCTAAGAGTGAATTAATCCTTGCATCACATGAGAATTTTGTGTTGTACTGAGAAATCTTCACACTGTTTTGCCCAGTGGCTGCACCATTGCACATTTCTCAATTTCTCCATATCCTCACCAAGACTTGTTATTTTCTGTTGTTTTTGGTTGTTTGACTTCTACTCATCCTAGTGGGTATGACGTAGTATCTCATTATAGTTTGGTTTGCACTTTTTAAAGATTTATTTATTTGAAAGAGTGACAGAGAGGAAGACACAGAGAGAGAGAGAGAGAGAGAGAGCGCGAGCGAGTGAGCTCTTCCATCTTTCCATCTGTTGGTTCACTTCCCAAGTGGCCACAACAGCCAGGGCTGAACCAGGCTGAAGCCCGGGACTTCATCTGGGTCTCCCACATGGATGGCAGGGGCCCAAGGACTTCTACTGCTTTCTCGGGCCACAGCAGAGAGCTGGATTGGAAGTGGAGCAGCTGGGACTCGAACCAGCGCCCATATGGGATGCCAGCACTGCAGGTGGCGGCTTTACCTGCTACGCCACAGCGCTGGCCCTGGGCCATTTATCTTTTTCTTATAGAGTAGTAAGAGCTATATATTTTCCCAATTATTTTGCATGTTCATTTTCCTGGTAGAACCTTCATCGAGGATCTCTAGAAACTTTTATGTAACTTAAAAGCAAAAAGCACACCTTTAATCTGAATCTTGTCTGACGGATTCTGCAGATAAGTTTCCCTAGGCAAGTCCCCCTGCAACACCCGAAAGAGACGTGGCCATTGTGCTGTGAAGTGGATGTTAACTCCACTCGCAAACGTGACACAGGGATGGCTTCCAGCCATGTTTTCTGAAAGCCTGTGTCCAGTGTGTCCATGGGAGCGCTAAGGACTCGCTGCCCGACTTACTCACTCAGGGATCAAGGCTGCAGGAGGGCTTCCCAAGACCAGCCTCGCAAGCTGGCCCAAGGTGATGACCACAGCTGCCCAGGGACTCTGACCCCCTCCTGAGTTCAGACCCGCACCCGCACCCGCAGCCTGACTCACGGCGGGGACTGGGTGTCAGGAAGGAGGCTGGGTGTCTGCGAGGGAGGCAAGCATCCCTTCCACCAGTTTGTTTAATGCTTGCGGCATCTGAAAGTCTTGGATCAATATTTTCAAGGCTCATTTGCGGCAATGCTTTGCCTGGGGCTGGAAGAGCGACTGTTTCCCGAGCTTTTCTCTCTCCAGGGTGGATGTGAACTTGAGCCCTTGCAATCAACCGCTTGCATTTTGTCTTCCTCCTGGCAAATCTGAGTGTGTGTGTGTGTGTGTGTGTGTGTGTGTGTGACTGTGATGGGGGGGAGGGTAAAGATAATCTCTAAACTGGACACCTGCAGCGCTTCTTCCTTTACCACTGCGTTTCTCAACCATTTTTTTTTATTCTTCCCCCATCTTTTGATACAACAAATACACTATTTTTTTTTATAGGCAGAGTGGACAGTGAGAGAGAGAGAGACAGAGAGAAAGGTCTTCCTTTTGCCGTTGGTTCACCCTCCAATGGCCGCTGCAGCTGGCGTGCTGCGGCCGGCACACCGCGCCTATCCGAAGGCAGAAGCCAGGAGCCAGGTGCTTCTCCTGGTCTCCCATGGGGTGCAGGGCCCAAGCACTTGGGCCATCCTCCACTACACTCCCTGGCCACAGCAGAGAGCTGGCCTGGAAGAGGGGCAACCGGGACAGAATCCGGCGCCCCGACCGGGACTAGAACCTGGTGTGCCGGCGCCGCTAGGCGGAGGATTAGCCTAGTGAGCCGCGGCGCCGGCCAACAACAAATACACTATTTATGTGCTATTACACATCTGTACTTTATACAGGAAAAGAGCCCCTGCTTAGGGGGTGATATGGACCCCACTGAGAATGCTTCTGCTATGGCTTGAATGACTATCAAAACTCAAGCTGAAATGTAGTCCTCCTTGTGAGATAATAAACAAACCTAGCCTGAGGTTGCCTAACTATCGTATTTGCAGCTGAGACCTCTGGCAGCTCATCACGATGAAATGAGGGTGGGGATGTAATCCAATGGGACTTTGGCTTCGGGATGCAGACGAGGCCAGGAGCTGGGAGCAGTGCTTACCCACGGCTTGGGACACCTGCATCCCATATGGCCACGCCTCAGCTGGGGTCCCGACTTTTTATAGCTTCCTGCAAATGCACACCCTGAGAGCCAGCAGCCGGCAGCCAACGGCTCAAGTGGTTGGATCCCATGTAGCAGACGAGGATTGAATTCCTGGCTCCAGCCCAGCTCCAGGTCTCCTTGTTGTGAGCAGCTGGGGAGTGAAGCAGCAGATAGGCGATCTCTCTGTGTTTCAAATGAAAATGAATAAATAAATCAGTAAATAAAAATTGGACAAAGAGAAAACTACTGAAAAAATAAGACGACGACAATGATGAGGAAGACGAGGAGGAGCAGGCCGGCGCTGCATCCTCCGCCTTGTGGCGCCGGCACACCGTGTTCTAGTCCCGGTCGGGGCGCCAGATTCTGTCCCGGTTGCCCCTCTTCCAGGCCAGCTCTCTGCTGTGGCCAGGGAGTGCAGTGGAGGATGGCCCAAGTGCTTGGGCCCTGCACCCCATGGGAGACCAGGAGAAGCACCTGGCTCCTGCCTTCGGATCAGCACGGTGCACCGGCCGCAGCGCGCCAGCTGTGGCGGCCATTGGAGGGTGAACCAACGGCAAAGGAAGACCTTTCTCTCTGTCTCTCTCTCTCTCTCACTGTCCACTCTGCCTCTCAAAAAAAAAAAAAAAAAGTAAGGAGGAGGAGGAGAGACCTGCGGTAGGACATTCTGTCTCACCATGTGATGCCTGTGCCACCTCAGGGCTGTGCAGCAACAGGGACCCCGCCAGGGCCAGCTGCCCAATCTCAAACTTCCCACCCCGTCAGCACTGGGAGTCAGTCACCCTCTGCTCTTTGCGTCACTCTGTCCGTGGTATTCAACTGTGGCAGCTGAAAAGGGACCAAGACAGCTTGCCTCATAGTAGTTCCCCAGCAGCCCACCTACAGGCGAGCAGGTCACCTGGCAGGGGCTGTGAGGGACGTGCCAGCCAAGGCTGGCCGGCGTTCAGCGAAGGGCCCAGGCACCAGCCCTCGTGGTCCCAGCCCTGGTCATTGGAAGCAGCCAGGTCTCAGTGAGGTCCAAGCTGCCAGAGGCCTGGTGGGAAATCTAATTCATTCCAAGCATGGAGCTCTACCAGGGGCTTGGAGGGTGCAAACCAGGAGTGAATTGGGCTGGGTGGGGACTGTGGCAAACAGCGGACAGCCCCAGGTGTGGGCCTACTGGTGTCACTACTTCTGAGTTCTCCCAGAGAAGCCCAGAATCTGGATTTTTGGTTATATCTCCTGAATTTTAAGCATCGGCTCGATTAAAGAACAATAATGCTACAGAGACCAAACCAAAAATACACAAGCAAGATACAGCCCTATACACGATTGGAGAAACTTTTTTTGGCACCAAAATAAACTTACTTTTTAATTCCACTTTTCCATGAACTTTTCCAAGTACCCGCCTCCCCTCTCCTGTCTCCCTCTCTTCTGCCTGCCCCACCCTCGCCCCCAGACTGGGGCCCTCCGCGATTGGGACCAAAGCTGCCTTCGTCCCCTTTCCCCTAGAAAAAGACCCCGTCTGCAGGCAAAGCAGGCCGGAGGCCTGCCGAAGCCGGGGATCGGGTGTCGGGGGCGGGTCCTGAGCACACAGCCCCGAGCTAGGCGCGGACAGGGCGGGGCCCCTCCTCGTCCCCGCTCGGACCTCTGGCCCTCCCGGCTGAAACAACCCGTTGTTCTCGCCCCCCACCCACCCCCCCGCCGCCCTGGCCATTGTTCTCTCTTCGCCCGGGTCGCCGGTGGGAGGCGAGGAACGCTGGGGTTCTGCAGCCTGGCTGCGCGCCAGGCCCGCGGCCTTCGGCCCTGGGGCAGCGGGGCGGCCGCGCCTCGTCGGCTGTAGGGGAGAACTCCCGGGTGCCGCCTGGCCGCCCCGCGCTCCCGCCTCCAGCTCCGCCATGGGCTCGAGCGGCTCCCACGCCACGGTCATTCCCGACGGGGACAGCATCCGGCGAGAGACGGGCTGTGAGTGCCCCCTGCCCGGCTGGCCGCGGAGTGGGCGCCGGGGCAGGGGTTAGAGAGGGCGACCGCGGTTGCGGGGGTCCTGCCAGGAAGGGGCTGGGGACTCCCGGAGCTGGGAGACCAGGACCGAGCGTGTGGGATCACGCAGGGCCAGGGGCGCTTTAACCGAGGGATCCCGGTGTCCAGGTTCGAGGAGGGGTCCGGGGTCACGGGTCTGGGGGTCAGATTCGCCCAGGCCCCCACGTGTCCCATCGAGGCTGGAGGCGGAGCTGGCCGCGGATGGAGGGTGCTGACCTGGGCCCCGGCTCACAGGGACGCCGCGAGCTTCCGGGTCTCCCACCTTGCGCTCCCTAGGGTCGCCAGCTCTGCCCTCCTCTGCAGGGAGGAGGGCGCGGTCCCCAAACCCCTTGCGTCCCCCGCTGGCCCTCCCCCAGCGCCGCGCGGGGCCAGTGTCCGGCGCGCGTCCCGCGGCGCTGGGGTGCAGCCGCGCCCTGGCACCTGCCTCTTTCCCGCAGTCTCGCAGGCCAGTTTGCTCCGTCTGTACCACCGATTCCGCGCCCTGGACAGGAACAAGAAAGGCTACCTGAGGTGAGGGGCGCCCACTTGACGACCTCTGGCCTCTGCCTCTCCCATCCCGCCCTTCGCTCCGCCCCTCCCTTGGCTCTGCTTGCCCTACCCGCTTTGGATTTGAACTTTGCAGCCGCATGGACCTCCAGCAGATCGGGGCGCTGGCCGTGAACCCCCTGGGAGACCGTATAATTGACAGTTTCTTCCCGGATGGGTGAGGCCGCTGGCGGAGGGGAGGAAGGTGGAGGTGGAAGAACCTGCGTGTGGCTGGCTGGGAGGGAATCTTAGAGCTTGGGACAGAGGGGTCCCGGGGTGACCCCCACCCCACTCCCGTCCTTCAGGAGTCAGCGAGTGGACTTTTCAGGCTTCGTCAGGGTCCTGGCGCATTTTCGGCCCGTAGATGAAGAAGAAGCAGGAATCCGAGACCCCAAGCAACCCGAACCCCTTAACAGCAGAATGAACAAACTTCGCTGTGAGTTTCTGGGTGCTACCTCCAGCAGGGAGAGGCCCCCAGAACCTCCCACTCCCATGGGGAGCCTACCCTTGGCCTCCACACTCCTCCTCCCGGAGACCTGCTGCCGGCAGGCTCGTCATTCCTCGCTCTGTCCATTCTCTCCCCAGTCGCATTTCAGCTGTATGACCTGGACAGAGATGGGAAGATCTCCAGGCACGAGATGCTACAGGTGGCAATGCAAGGGTGGATGATATGATGTGTGCAGGGTGGGATGGTTGCATGCAATGGTGCGGAGGTGACAGGTGGATGGGGAGGTGGGCGACTGGGGCGTTGGTGGGAAAAGGGAAGGGGCGGGGTGGGGTGTGGGCTCGCTGAAGAAGGGATAGAGAGAGCTTGAGTGTAAGGTTGTGAAGAGATCTGTGGTTTTCAGCTGGGGTGGTTTTGCCCCTGAGTGATCACGGACAGTGTCTGGAGGTACTTTTGGTTGTCCCAGCCGGGGAGAGCGTGTGCTATGGCGTCTAGTGCGTAGAGCTCAGGGATCCAGCTAGCCATGGGATGGTCCACAAGATAGCCTTACACTACCAGGATTTATTTGGCTCCAACTGCCCGTAGTGTCGTGATCCACAAGCTAGAATGGCTGTTGTGATGAGGTTGGGTACTGATTGGGAAGAGTTGGGGGTGAGGCAGGTGGTGTGGGGGGTGCATGGAGGTTGGGTTGCTTGGGAAGTGAGTTTGGGCGTGTTGTTGAGGCAAGTGTGGAATAGGAGGGGTGGATGAGGGATGGGAGGGTGAATCTGAAGGGCGTTATCAGGGGACATGGTGGGGCGGAAGTGGTTGGGAGAGGGTGAAGCGTGACTGAAGGCTGGATTGTGAGACTGGTAATCCCCTTTGGGGACCAGATTCTGGGGGAAGCGGGGGGCAGCCCCTGGGCCTTCTCTTTCCGCTGACCTCTGACCTCCCAGGTGCTGCGGCTGATGGTCGGGGTCCAGGTGACAGAGGAACAGCTGGAGAGCATCGCCGATCGCACAGTGCAGGAGGCTGACGAAGACGGGGACGGGGCCGTGTCCTTCCTGGAGTTCACCAAGGTCAGAATGCCCCTGGGGACACTGAGAGTGCAGACCGGGTGGGAGGGCTCGGGGAATCAAGTGCAATGCAGAGCAGAAAGAGGGGCTCTCAGGGAGTGGGGGGAGGGGCTTTGGGGCAGGGGTAGAGCCTGGGGGAGGAAATCGGAAGTGTAGAGGATTGGGTTTAAGCCTCCTAACTGCCCCTCCTCCTCCCTCCAGTCCCTAGAGAAGATGAACATTGAGCAGAAAATGAGCATCCGGATCCTCAAGTGAGCCCCTTGGAGCCCTTGGTCAGCTCCTGCAGCCCAGCGCCTGCTTGGGATTCAGCCTCAACCCCATGGAGGCAGGACCCCAATAAACGACATTCTCACGGCTGAACCGGACTCCGTGGAGGGACAAGGGGAGAAAGCCGGAAGGGCGTGTGCTAACGTTGAGCCCAATCGGCCTCAGATGTGTGACTCAACCAGCAGTCTTTTAGCTGCAAGTGACGGAAAACCCGGCTCAAAGCGTCTTGAGTAATGACGTCACGTAATTAAAAAGTCTGGAAACACTGGTCTTCAGGCACCACTGGGTCCATTACAAGCGGTGTTCTCAGGATTGGGCATTCTCTCTCCCTTGTCTCAACCCAGCTTGCTTCTGTGCTGGCTTCCTTCCTCGTGCTGGTGGACAGTGGCCACCTGCGGCTCCAGGCTTCCCTCCTGTTAGTCCAGTATCCCAGCAGCAGAGATTTTTCTTATTCCAATCATTTCAAGCAAAGGGTCACTGGCCCACCTGGAGTCTTGTACCTGGGAGTAGAATGCGCCAACTGTTCAGCCATGGAGCCAGGAAATAAGGTCTAAGGACTCAGGATGAAGTGAAAAGGGGTTGTTTTAAAGGAAAATGAGGTCCTATTGTCAGAAAAAGGGAGATTTTTGAGTGTGCATGTGTTAGTTTTGCTCAAGCGAAACAAGAAATATCCTTTACTATTTGTTGCCCAGAGGAAGGGACCCTTGAATTCTGTTTTTTCCCACTAATCCCCGAGGTACATACGGATGTGATAAGGATTGGTGGTGGGGAGGGAGGTGATATAAAAATCATGATACCTACATTTTTTTAAAGATTTATTTATGTATTTGAAAGTCAGAGTTACACAAAGAGAGGAGAGGCAGAGAGAGAGAGAAAGGTCTTCCATCCGCTGGTTCACTCCCCAGTTGGCCACAACAGCTGGAGCTGTGCTGATCCAAAGCCAGGAGCCAGGAGCTTCTTCCAGGTCTCCCATGTGGGTGCAGGGGCCCAAGGACTTGGACCATCCTCCACTGCTTTCCCAGGCCATAGCAGAGAGCTGGATTGGAAGAGGAGCAGCCGAGTCTCGAATTGGCTCTCATGTGGAATGCTGGTGCTTCAGGGCGTTAACCCGCTGCACCACAGCGCCGGCCCCGATACCTACATTTTTAGAGTGTGAAATTATACAAAGAGTTGGAGAGCCGTTCTCTTACACTCGTGGTAAGGTGTTCAGATATTGGTGTATCTCGGGGTGCAGTAGAACATTCGCACAAAGCCGTGAGGTTCCGTGTCTAGCAGAACATTCGGGCTGTCCTTGTAGGTGACCATCAGTGCCTGCCCATTTCCCACTGCAGGATGTGCTGAAGTTGTCTTATCTCTGCACGTGAACCCCAACTGCATGCCTGTCTTCTCAGCTCTGCCTTACACTGTACACATTGGCACCTGCACCAGGCCACGGCCTTTCCGGGTAGGAGAGCCACACAGCCGGCTCAGCATTTGCTATTCCTGCACACACCAGCGGTTTCCTCTGGCACGCACCTGTGATAGTCTGACCACCATCTCCGCCTGTCACCGACATGTCACCTGTCACTGCCTGTCACTCTCATGGTGCTCTGTCTGTAGTCTGTGCCAGGCACCAACACATACTCAGCCTAAGCAAGGGGCAGCTTGCAAGTGCCAGGGAGCCGATGACCCTCAGGGTAGCTCTCAACTAACGACAGGTGGAAATTGGTGGGTAAATACCCAGCTATCTCACCCCTTAAGTGGGACAATTTTTTAAAAAATGTTTATCTTTATTTGAAAGGCAGAGAGAGTGTGTGAGAGAGTTACCTTCTGTTGCTGATTCACTCCCCAGATGCTCAGTAAGAGCCAGTGTTGACCCAGGCCTAAACCAGGAGCCAAAACCCAATCCAGGTTTTCCACGTGTGTGGGAGGGATCCAGCCCCGAGAACCATCACCTGCTGCCTTCCGGGGTGTACATTAGCAGGAAGCTGGGATCAGAAGTGGAGTCAGGACCCAAACCCAGGCACTCGGATATGAGATGTGAATATAGGCCAAACACTTGCTCTTTTTGCTCTTTTTTTTTTTTTGATAATTTTTTTTTATTTGACAGATAGAGTTAGACAGTGAGAGAGACAGAGACAGAGAGAAAGGTCTTCCTTCCATTGGTTCACCCCTCAAATGGCCGCTACAGCCGGCACTGTGCTGATCCAAAGCCAGGAGCCAGGTGCTTCCTCCTGGTCTCCCGTGCGGGTGCAGGGCCCAAGCACTTGGGCCTTCCTCCACTGCACTCCTGGGCCACAGTAGAGAGTTGGACTGGAAGAGGAGCAACCAGGACTAGAACCCTGCACCCATGTGGGATGCCGGCGCCACAGGTGGTGGATTAACCAAGTGAGCCATGGTGCCAACCCCTGTCTTTGCTCATTTTAAAATCTTCTACTGAGGGCGGGCGCCGTGGCTCTGTGGCTCACTAGGCTAATCCTCCGCCTTGCGGTGCTGGCACACCGGGTTCTAGTCCTGGTCAGGGCGCTGGATTCTGTCCCGGTTGCCCCTCTTCCAGGCCAGCTCTCTGCTGTGGCCCAGGAAGGCAGTGGAGGATGGCCCAAGTGCTTGGGCCCTGCACCCCATGGGAGACCAGAAGCACCTGGCTCCTGGCTTCTGATCAGCGCGGTGCGCCGGCTGCAGCACGCTGGCCGAGGCGGCCATTGGAGGGTGAACCAACGGCAAAAGGAAGACCTTTCTCGCTGTCTCTCTCTCTCACTTTCCACTCTGCCTGTCAAAAAAAAAAAAATCTTTTACTGAGGTCAAAGATTAATTAAATAAATATCCCTCGATCAGAAAACCTTTGGTCATGTGGCTGTCCTCTGAGAAAAAAGATCACAAAATTCCCTAAGGAATCAAATATCCTTTTTTGTCACATCTCTCTCTGCAACTAGGAGATTCATCTGTTAGAGTTTTGCTATAATCCCTGTAAAAGGTGAGATGGGGCTAATATACCACTTGGGCAGTTCCAGGTTCCCAGGGCCTCAAAGCTCTATTAAAAAAATTATTTCACTTTGAAAGGCAGAGTTACAGAGAGAGGGGAAGAGAGAGAGAGAGAGAGAGAGAGAGAGAGAGGGAAACAGAGATCTTCCATCTCCTGGTTCACTCCCTAATGCCTACAATGGCTGGGGCTGGGCCAAGATGAAGCTGGGGGCCTGGAACTCCACCCAGGGCTCTCACATGGGTAGCAGGGACTCTTGGACTTTGGCCATCTTCCATTGCTTTCCCAGGTGCATTAACAGGGTGGGAAGTGGAGCAGCTGGGACTCAAACCGGCACTCATACGGGATGTGGGCGCCACAGGCAGTGGCTTAACCTGCTGCGCCACAGCACTGGCCCTGGTGCATGGTCCCTACGTGACCTCAGACTTTCTGGAGTCGAAGTACCAGGAGCTGTGCAACGCTTTGGTGCCATGCTACCCTAAAGTGTCCCACCGAGCACCCACAACCATGGACGAGGGTCAGCTTGTGTCCTTGAAGGTCTAGCGCATCTTGGATTGAATTTCGCTGGGAGCTCCTGAGACACAGATGTGAGGCAATTGGGGAAGCACTGATGGCAGAGCTGGCTGGTGGCACTTGGAGGGAGGGGAGCCACACAGGGTCGCTACGGTTTGGACATGGTTTAAATGAGTCCTCTAAGGCTCCACGTGTTGAAATTGTGTCCCCATCATGAGATCTTAAGAGGACAGAAACTTAACCCGAACATGCATGCTGTCTCTTGCACCGGCCCCCTTGACCAGCATCTTAATGGCAAGGCTAAATGCCTGGCTCCATGAAAATCTATATTTTTAGTAGGTGACTAAACTTTCAGAAACCCTGACCCAATGCTTCTGGCGCAGTCGCTCTAAGAGAGTCTCACGTCCATAGAGCACCAAGCATAACCCCTGGCTCACAGGCCCTCCGGAAATAGCTCCCCATCACTTGCACCCACACCTGCTCGGGGAACTCAGTGCCTGTGACTAGTACTTCCCATCTCACAAGGTTATTAGGAGGGCAAGAAGGATCCCCAAGACTCTGCTTGCAGACATCCCCACAGGCACTGCTCCTGAGCCCAGAAAGTTGGAGAGGCGCGCAGGTGCGAGGCATCAGTCTGGCTGCCAGCGGCACAGTTAGCCCCGCCCTCCTGGTGTCAGGAGTGACACAGATGCCTGAGGATTTGCTCGGTGATTTAACACCCTCATTACTGCTGCTGTACAATACCTCCAGCCTGTACCGCTATTTCTTTATTAGATGTTTATCAATGGACTTGTTTAAATCTTAATGTATTTGAATGTATAAAGGAATTTAATTTGTAAACTAAACCCAGCCTCAATCGAGAGGGTTTTCCCAGTGAACAGTGGGCACTGATGGGCACTGGAGCAACCTCAGCTTGTTCCACTGGGACGACTGGAATGTTCGGGAAGAGTCCCTCTACACATCCTGAAATGGAAAAGGGAGTTTAGAGCAAGTCCTTTCCTGTTTTTCTTATTTTCTTTTAAAGACTGTTTATTTGAAAGAGCATTGTAGGCCGGCGCCGCAGCTCACTAGGCTAATCCTCCACCTTGCGGCGCCGGCACACCAGGTTCTAGTCCTGGTCGGGGCGCCGGATTCTGTCCCGGTTGCCCCTCTTCCAGGCCAGCTCTCTGCTATTGCCTGGGAAGGCAGTGGAAGATGGTCCAAGTCCTTGGGCCCTGCACCCACGTGGGAGACCAGGAGGAAACTCCTGGTTTCTGGCTTCAGATCAGCACAGCTCCAGCAGTTGTGGCCAATTGGGGAGTAGGCCATCGGAGGGAAGACCTCTCTCTCTCTCTCTCTCTCTCTGCCTCTGCCTCTCTGTAACTCTTTCAAATAAACAAAATAAATCTTAAAAAAAAAAAAAAAGAAATAGAAAGAGAACCAGCTGCATGCAGAAGGGGGCGAGTAGTCACACGGTGATACAGGAAGCAAGAGCCCAGGGAAGGGCCAGGCTATTCCCCCAACCCCTGTTTAATGAAAACTGACCAGGGTCTCTTAAGACCTACATTAATCCCTTCCTCCCAGCCAGAGAGAGTGGCTCTCTTGTTAGGGGTAACCTGGACCCAGGTCAGACAATAGCCACAAGGACATCTTCACCCCCAGTGACCTAGTCATTTTGCACAAGGTCCTGCCTCTCACAGGTTCCCCCACCCCCACACTGCCACTGTGGGGAGCACGCTTCCGACGCATCAAATCCAGACCAAAGCAGAGTTTGGTTGGAGAAGCAGATCCACTCTAACAGCTGTCCAGGAAGGGGTCT